GAGAGAGAGAGAGAGAAGGGGGAGGAGGAGAGGGAGAGAGAATTTGCGCAATATATTTTTGAAAGATGCTGTAGCTAATTAAAGATTTATTAGGGTTGTGTAAAATTTATTATTTGATTGCGCTTGTTACTTGAAATGATCGCATCAGCATATGATCACGACGAACAGAGTGAATTTATAGTAGGCCCGAATGATTACATTTTTTTCAGTGGTTATTAAATATTTTTTTAGAGGGTGTCGGTCGCGGGTCGATACAAATTTCGGTTATTAAGGCGGCATCGTGTGTAATCGGATCGAATTACATCTCGAATTACCGAGGGGCGCCGGAACGGGGGTTTCTAACGAGCTTTTTTATCGCCCGTCAGTATGATTCGTAAAGCTCGAAACGTGTCTTCGACGAAACGTTTAATGATCGCGTTGAAATGCGCGCGCGATTATAATTTGCCACATTTTCCTTCGTTTTATATCCGCCCCGGCCGAGCGGGACGCGTTTTATCACCCGTGCAATAAAACGCACTGTTATTTCGGTGAATTAACGTTTCGCTAATTTTTGCCGCAGGTGAAGCAGCAATACGAGACAACCGAAGCGGGGATCGACGAATCCGGTATTGGTGAGTCTATATAATATATATTTTTTCTAGTCTTTGTGTTCAGCATTTTGCGCTATCTGGAATTTAATATCTACTAATATAAGCCATTAATATCCATCTTACAATTAGCTATATTTTGCGCGTCTTCTATCAATGCGTTTTTAATTTCAAAAAAGTAACTGGAAAACATATTTTAATATTTAGCGATCAAAATTTATTTAGCGAGATAATATATGTGGATTGTCCGTTCTTCGATTTAAAAATTGAAATCTCTTTCAACGACAGATTGAAAAATGTCGTTGAACATTCCGCGCTTTCCTTACAACCCATCCTTCGCGGATAAATCTTTTATGCGTCTCGATTTATTCGTCTATCCTTTGGAGAACCACGCGGAATTCTTTGTTCCCTTGGACCGGTCCAGAGAATTTCCGTGGACCGAATAAAAAGGGCCGGACCATAATACCGCGAGAGGACCCTTTCGATCCCATTGAAACGTCGAAGCGGTATCGGGTGGGGTTAAGGGTGGCCACGAGGGCGAATGCAATATTATTCAAAATCACGAAAATCTCCGTTTGTATTTTGTTAGTTTCGGGGTCCATTCGGGGTACCCCGTAGATGCATATCTTACAACCCTGAATGGGCCACCGTACGGGGTAAGCACCGGTTGGTGTTTGTTCGTCGTTTTTCCCCTTCGTGCCCTTCTCGCGTCACGATGAGAGAACCGTGAGGGCGAGAGTGATCCAGGTAAAAAGGGTCAAACACGCGCACAAAGGGTGTGCCCTCACCCTCGCGCGACCGGGCATATCGTGAGTGCAACATAACGTAATCATAAAAGCGACACTTCGATCTTACGCCGAGAACGAATCGAACGCATTGAAAGGAGAATTCAAGACGATTTCAAGGGTTGATTCGTGGAACGTCATCATCGTCGCCGTCGTCTCTCGTTTCTCGGGAAAACCTGTTGCGTGCCACCGCCGACTGCACGATATGCAATGCAGTTTCCGCAGCTGCCGTTGCGCAGCCCTTTTCTCGTGTTTCCACAAAGAACACCAGGTGCTCGACTGAAATTACCAGCGTCGTAGATTTTCACCGGAAACAGGATGATTAGTCCGCGAGTAACTAAGTGTCTTAGTTATTGCACTTGTCGCTAACATCCCGGATTTTGACTCGGAGATCTTTTATCCCGCGACTCAACCCTTTCACAGGTGCGTAGCCCGTCGGGAGGGAAACCCTTTCCCGTATTGTTCGCGAGTTTCCGCTAATCCTTTCGACGTTTCGCAGGTAAAAGGGTTAGGATTCTGGGTTAGCGGACCGTTGAGCGGAAAATGGTCCGATTAACGGTACGGTAGTACCGAGATAATTTGATAAACTATTTAACCGATGTGGCGCAATATATATAGTATTTTTAGTTTGGCGTAATTTGAGATCTTTTTCTAAATCTGTTTTATTTCGATTACTTGAAAAACCAAGGATAAGTATTTTACGTATTTCCGAAAGCGTATTTATATTTTCAAGATTTTTATATCAGACTGCTATCTCAAATTACTTTTATCAATAAACTGAAATAAGAAATCTTTTAGATGATTTCAATGATAGAATGACACAATTTTAAAAAATATTTGGGGAGGGACGAGGTTCGAATGAACACGAAGAAAAGACTTTTTCTGAAGCAGATTCTCGCAAGTTCGAACACGTTCGGATTTCGCCATTCTGCACAAAGGCGGAATGGTTTCTACGCGAGAAGAAAAGATTTCTTTTTTTTCTTAACGCGTTACGTAAACTCGAAATGCTTACGGCAGACTCCTCGAGTCCGCAGGTTCGTCGGTGCAGGTTCGAACCTGCATGGGACATTCAGGGCTCGCTTTGATCGAGTTTCTTCACGTGCCAACTGCAGATGAGACGTGTTGTTCGAAAGTTGCGCGATCTTCCGCACAGATCAGTATTCGTGTCTCGTCCTAAAGTCTTGCGTAAAGGGAGGACCATCTTACCGGATGCGAAGACCTGCCAAGACGTTTGAAAAGCGAATCTAACGTGGGTGGGTGCATCCTTGGGAGGGTGTGTTGTGAGAAAGTCTTTTTAAAAGGACGCATTCTAACTCTCTCACGTGATGCTTCGACACGTATTTTTCAATGGCGAATTTCATCATCCTAGATACACCATAGAAAGGGGAAGGATTTCGGGAAGGGTTTCGGGATTTCACTCCCGTTGCTTTTGCACGATATCGAATGGTCGATGTAGATTTTTTCTTTAAATTGCAATTTTCTAATTGATAAAAATCATTATACGAGTTCAGATATAAAAATATTAAAATATATGTATGTTTTATCGAGAATCCAATCCCTTTGAAACGTTTAGTTTCAATAAAGACGCGTCGATGCGTTTGTGATGAACTTGATAAGCTTCAAGATCAACACGAGAATCCTAATATCAATATCAAACATTACTTGGTACACCAAATTCGAGAGTCTTGACAAACTTCTCTGGAGGACTTTGCGGCGATTTTCCTTCCTTCGATATCGACCCTCCGGATTTGAAATCTTCCAAAGTCTTGCGCGCCAAGCTCGGAAAGATCCGTTTCCATTTACGAGTCGCCATTTATGTTCCTAAATAAACAGCTGTTCCTCGCAAGTTCTGCACCTATGTAAACACAAGATCTTGACGAAACTGCCGCACGCTCGATCGATTTGTGTGATTCACTCGACCGGGGGTGAAGGAGAGAAAAAAAATTTCGAGCGGAGAGTTCTGAAAGAAGAGTGTCGGAAGGAGAGGGTCGCATTGAAGATCGCAGGACCATGAATCTGCCTCCGGGGCATGGATCCATTCTTAAAGGATTATCATTATAAATTATACATTTCCCTTCTTCCCTTTCTGTGCTGCCCTCCTACACTGCCGGATGACCGGTAGCAGCTTAAGGATTTCTATCACAGGATTAGCGTGGACCGTGTCATCGTGGTATCCTGTCTATTCGATTCGTCTTCCTTCGGGAGCAGAGATGCTCGCGAGATCCTTTTGCGTGTTTCACGATTTTTTTTTTTTTTTTTTTTTTTACGACGTTACGTTCCATTCGCGCGTGAGTAACATTTGCCTCGCCGAGTGCGTTTTATTTTTACAAAGGACGCGGATGTAATGATATTGCAGATGCGCGTAGCTCATAAATCCATCGTATTCGCAAAGCGTAGAAAATTGCAACGGACAGTTCGGAACCTGAATCAAATGCGAATGAAAAAGAGTATGCAAAACGGAATGTTTCAGACAAGAAAGGCGTCGCTTAGATGATACATGTATATTAATTTGATAATATGTAATGATATTATATTATATAATAATTCTTATTATTAATAATTTTTTTATTTATGATAATTTTAAATGATAAATTTTATATATATATATTTCATTATAACATTAATACATATAAATGTATATAAATATTACACAATATCTTACATTATTTTCACTTGTTAAGAGTGAGACAATTTTAAGAATCTAATTTATTGATTAAATTGATTTATTAATTCCAACACATTTGATTAAAATTAAGGTTATAGAGATACAGTCTGATTTATTTTTAAAACAATTCATAATTTTTTGAGATACACAAAAAAATCTGCGCGCGATACAAGACGGCGTTTAATTTTGTCTCACGCGATTTATTACGAATCGGCGAATTATATTGAATATCGGCGTTCCACAAAACGCCCGATGCTGATTCATCCATCGATACGATGACGTTTTTCTGGGCCGTCTGGACCTCGCCCCGAATCGTCGAAATGTACGATAACAATTATTCGAAAATGCTCGTTCGAATGTCAAAGGCGACAATGACTTTTCGCGAAGATGAGACGACGGCCATTGCCGACGACGTCCCTTTCGTCTTTGTGCCTCCCGAGTCTTTTTTACGTACACGTGGAGGAGTTTGATGGGTCTCTTTGGTCGGGGCCCGATCCTTTTCTCGTACGCGAAGGGTCCTGTGGGCGGAGCGGTTGGCCGAGAAAGGACCTCATTCGAGTCCGGCGGCGAGGATTCTCTAGGATCCTGACCAGCGGGATAAGGAATGAGCTTTCAAAGGGGCTGAAATTGAACACGTGCAAGGGTGAGTCAGAGCAGCAGAAGGAGAAAGCGAAAAGAACATACAAAAAGAAAGAGAGAACAGCAGGCCCCAGTCTATGTGGGCCCTTCGAAGATTTCTGTGTCAGATAACGTTGTTCTCGCAGGGCTGCAGTCTTGTCTTTTCTACAGGCTCTATTATGACTGGCATAATTATTTAAGAGAAATTTATTATGCAAAGCATGATTAGTTCCAATAGTGAAATTATTTATCTCTGATAAATCTCTTTGTTTTTTGATATAAAAGTATATTAGTGTCTTATAGATATTTTGATGAAAATATTTTTATCAAAATTTTTAATTATTAAATTAAAATTGAAATAGATAATTACAATTTATGACATAATTAATTTATTTTAAAGGAGGTTTTTTTCGAATATTATTCGAAACATTAACTGTTGATTATTATGTGTCTATAGCAAAAGTGGATGCACGTGTTTAAAACGTGTGCACAAAGTTTAAAATTTATTAAAATGACTATGTTGACTATGTTGAATATAGAAAGACAAATAAACAAACTGTTTAAAAATGCAATCCTTATAAAAGATTACGCGAAGACAAAGTTTAAATGAATAAATTTTCATTTGCTGTTTGTTTCATCTATAAAGTAAAATAACACGACAATTTCCTTTGGAAATGATGATTTCATAAATGAGTTTCTTGAAAATTATTTCTCAGGATCGAAATGAATGCGGCCCTGCGTGCCTCGGGCTCATCATCTATCTCGCCTATCCTTCGGAGTCGAGCCTCCTAGATATCCCTCCGCGCCACAGCAATGCCTAGAGAAGCCACATTTTTTTCTCGTCCGCGTCCGGTATATCCATTAGAACACGTGCATCCACTGTCGTAACAAGTGCCCCGTCGATGCTATAAACCCCCAAGGGGCACAAAAAACCGTGGTCCATCTAGAGAGATCCC